GGAGAAAGAGAGAAAAGAGAAAGGGAGATGAAAGAAAGGGGGAGGGGGAGGGGGAGAGAGGAAAGAAAGAGAAAGAAGGAGAAAGAGAGGAAAGAAGGGGAGAAAGAGGAAAGAGGAAAGAGAAAGGAAAGAGGGAGAAAGAGAGAAAAGAGAAAGGGAGAGGAAAGAAAGGGGGAGGGAGAGGGGGAGAGAGGAAAGAAAGAAAGAAGGAGAAAGGAAAGAAAGGGAGAAAGAGGAAAGAAAGAGGAAAGAGAGAAAGGGAGAAAGAGAGAAAAGAGAAAGGGAGATGAAAGAAAGGGGGAGAGAGAGGGGGAGAGAGGAAAGAAAGAAGGAGAAAGAGGAAAGAAAGGGAGAAAGAGGAAAGGGAGAAAGAGAAAAGAAAGGGAGAGGAAAGAAAGGGGGAGGGAGAGGAGGAGAGGAAAGAAAGAAAGGAGAAAGAGGAAAGAGGGAGAAAGAGGAAAGAAAGAAAGAGGGAGAAAGAGAAAAGAGAAAGGGAGATGAAAGAAAGGGAGAGGGAGAGGGGGAGAGAGGAAAGAGAAAGAAGGAGAAAGAGAGGAAAGAAAGGGAGAAAGAGGAAAGAAAGGAAAGAAAGAGAAAGAGAGAAAGAGAGAAAAGAGAAAGGGAGAGGAAAGAAAGGGGAGGGAGAGGAGGAGAAAAAAAGAAAGAGAAAGAGGGAGAAAGAGAAAAGAGAAAGGGAGATGAAAGAAGGGGAGGGAGAGGGGGAGAGAGGAAAGAAAGAAAGGAGAAAGAGGAAAGAAAGGGAGAAAGAGGAAAGAAAGAGAAAGAGGGAGAAAAAAGAGAAAGGGAGAGGGAGAGGAAAGAGAAAGGGAGGGAGAGGGGGAGAGGAAAGAAAGAGGAAAGAAAGGGAGAAAGAGGGAAGAGAGAAAGGGAGAAAGGAAAGAAAGGAAAGAGGAAAGAAAGAAGGAGAAAGAGAAAGGAAAGGGATGGGGAGAGTAAAGAGAAAGAGAGGAAAGAGAAGGGGAGAAGAAAGAGAGGAAAGAGAAAGGGAGAAGAGAGGAAAGAGAAAGGGAGGGAGAGGAAAGAGAGAAAGGGGGAAGCGCAAGTGCCCCCCCTCTCTCTCTCTCTCACACACACACACACACACACACACACTGAGTGGGGGAAGAAGACTGGCAGACCAAGGGCAGAAAGAGGGAGAGGGAGGGAGGGACAGAGAGAGACCCTTTTGACATCTAAAATGAAAAAAAGGATATATGCAGTGTTATCTTCATTTTTGATATCCAAAGGGTTTTGCGGCTCCCTGTGTTTTGTTTTCAGTGGGAAATGGGTCCAAGTGGCTCTTTGAGTATTTTGGGTTGCCTACCCCTGTTCTAGACTATCCATACCCAATTACTGCAATCATTCACATGTTTTAGTTTCCAGGACTTTAATCATCTTAGTTGTTCTCTGCACTTTTTTCAGAGTCTCAAGATCTTTTTTTGTAATGTGGTGACCAAAACTGGATGCAGTATTCCAGGTGTCGTCTTAGGATTTTTAAAGCAATACTAATACTTACGTGATTTTGATTCTATGCCTCTGTTTATACAACCAAGGATTGTATTAGGACTCCAAGGTCCCTCTCACAATTACTGTTTTTGAGCCAGGTTTTGCCTAATCTGTACTTGTATCTTTGGTTTTTCCTGTCCAGATGTAAAACCTTGCTTTTCTCCACGTTAAATTTCATTTTGTTGGATGGGGCACATTGTTCAAGTCTGTTAAGATCTTTTTGGATCTTGAGCCTATCTTCTGGGGTGTTGGCTATTCCTGTCAGCTTAGTGCCATCTGCAAATTTGATGAGTTCCCCTTCTATTCCCTCATCTAAGTCATTTGTGAAGATATTGAACAGTACCGGGCCTAAGATGGAACCTTGTGGTTCCCCACTGCTTACTTCCATGTAGAAGTAATATCATTAAGGACTACTCACTGAGTATGGTTTGTCAGCCAGCTACAGATCCATCTGATGGTATTGTTGTCTATCCCACCATTTTCTAGCTTACTAAGAACTAGGTTGTGATTTACTTTGTCGAATGCCTTACTGAAGTCTAAATATATTATGTCTACAGCATTTCACTGGTCTAGTAATTTAGTCACTTTGTCAAAGAATGAAATAAGATTGGTTTGGCATGATCTCTTTTTAACAAACCTATGCTGGCTTCTATTTTGTTTCTTATTTGTTTCTAGATGTTTGCAGATCTGTTTTTTGATTATTTTTTCCAGTATCTTCTCAGGTATTGATGTTAGGCTGATTGGTCTGTAGTTTCCTGGGTCTGTTTTTCCTCCCCTTTTTTTGAAGATGGGAACCACATCAATTCTTTTCCAGTCCTCTGGTAGTTTCCCAGTGCTCCAGGATTTTTGAAAGATATGCTACAATGCTTCTGACATAACATCTGCCAGCTCCTTCAGAATTCTGGGATGTATTCCATCAGGTCCTGGTGATTTATATTCATCAAGATCTGACAGGAGTTCTCTTACCATTTTCTTGCTTATTTTAATTTTTATTTCTAGTCTGTCTTTTATAGTTATGTTTTTGGTAGGTTGAGCTATAGTCTCTTTTTGCGTGAAAACTGATGCAAAGAATGAGTTAAGCAGCTCAGCTTTCTCTCTACTGCCTGTTACTTTCTTGCTATCTTCTCTCTTAAGTGGGCCTACTGTTTTCTTGATTTTTTTCTTGTTATTTATATGTTGAAAGAATGTTTTTTATTATTTTTGACTTTTATTGCATAACTGCATCCAGTTTTGGTTACCACATAACAAAAAAAGATCTTGAGACTTTGGAAAAAGTGCAAAGAAGAGGAACTAAGATTAAAGGCCTGGAGACTAAAACATATGAAGAACAATTGCAGGATTTGGCTTTGGTTAGTCTAGAGAAAAGAAAGACTAAGGAAAACATGATAGTAGTATTCCAGTATTTTGGGAGCTGCTACAAAGAAAGAGAGGGTCAACTTATTTTCCAAAGCACCAGAGGGTAGGACACGAAACAATGGACGGAAACTAATCAAGGAAAGAAGCAACCTGGAATTAAGGAGAAACTTCCTAACCAGTGAGAACAATTAACCAGTGGAACAGCTTGCCTTCAGAAGTTGTGGGTGCTTCATCACTGGAGGTTTTTAAGAAGAGACTAGACAGCCACTTGTCAGAAATGGTATAGGATCTCCTGCTTGAGCAGAGGGTTGGACTAGAAGACCTCCAAGACCCCTTCCAGATTCTATTCTATTCTGTTCTGTTCTGTTCTATTCTATTCTATTCTTTCATCTATTGTCATTCAGTAATGGCCTATATGAGTCAGAAGGATCTAATTGTGCACATTCTTCTAAAACGCCAATCCCTTCCCATGAACAAGTCTAACAATTATAGGGACAAAAGTCAGTTTGATATGATCCTTCTGCATCCAGAACAGGGAAGGGAAATTGGTTTTGAAAGACAGTGATAGTTCCAGAAGATGAATGATCTTAATTGGATAGGCACAGTCCAAAGACTCAGTAACCATTGTGGTCTGGAGAAGAGGGCCCAGACACTGGAAACCACAACTCCTTTTGTGTACAAATATCAAACTCTTGCAGCTCATGGAAATAATCAACTGATAATACAGGGCAAACAGACTGCTCCATAATTTGGGCCTTAATTCAAAACATTGTGCTCCTTTTCCAGTGGCCTGGCACGGGGAAGAGATGCAAACAGTAGGATACATCAAAACTGGGCCAGCACCAGATAAGGCAATGAACAACATATAGTATAGCCTCTACATTGAACAAGCCATTGATAAGTCAAAGACCTCTAAGACAGGGCTTTTCAATCGGTGGTACACGTACTTTAGCACCTGGGAGGTGGTACATGACCCCTAGCCAAGTGTAGTGGGGGAGGGAACGAGTTAAAGCGGCACCGCACAGGGCTCGGTAGAAGCCCCAGGATCTGTGCATGTGTGGCTGCATGCTGATTGGAGCTTCCGGCCAACCCAGAAGAGAAAAGGAGGAGGAAGAGGGCAGAGAGAGGAGAAGCTACAAAAGGAGCAGGTTTTGGTGGGGGGAAAAAAGACACATGGAGAAAGAGAGAGAAGAGGCTTTTGTTAGTGAAGGGGAGAGAGAGAGTGGCCTTTGGGAGTGAAGGGTGAGTGAAAGTGTGAGCGAGGGGCTTGTGCAAGCAATGTGTGAGTGAATGAACGAGAGAGAAGCTTTTGCAAGGAATGTATGAGTGAATGAGAGCAAGAGAGAAGCATGTGCGAGCAATGTGTGAGTAAAAGAGAGAGAGAAGCTTGTGCAAGCAATGTGTGAGTGAATGAGCGAGAGAGAAGCTTGTGCGAGCAACGTGTGAGTGAAAGAGAGAGTTTTTGCAAGCAACATATGAGTGAATGAGAGCAAGAGAAGCTTGTGCGAGCAACGTGAGTGAATGAGAGCAAGAGAGAAGCTTGTGCGAGCAACGTGAGTGAATGAGAGCAAGAGAGAAGCTTGTGCGAGCAATGTGAGTGAATGAGAGCAAGAGAGAAGCTTGTGCGAGTAACGTGTGAGTGAATGAGTGAGAGAAGCTTGTGCGAGCAACATGTGAGTGAATGAGAGCAAGGGAGAGGCTTTTGCTAACAAAGGGTGAGGGGGGCTGCAAGCAAAGGGTGAGAGAAAAAGGGAAAAGTGAGGGGGAGAAGGAAAAAAAAAGAAAAGGCATTGACTTCTGAGTTCTACTGTTGCAGTAGGAAACATTAACATTGAACCTCAACTTTTTTACTTTTCCATAATATTATAAACTAGCCATTTTTATAACAACAAATGAATCTAATCAGTAAAGCCCAAAGTCTCCCCCTTTTTTTAGTCATCAATTTTTTTGACATCTTGCTAAGCACTGGTGGTACTCAAATATTGTCATGTCCTAAAAGTGGTACAATCTGTGAAAAGGTTGAAAAGCCCTGCTCTAAGATTTGCAACATTCTTGCATCTTGGAATGGGGGCCCCATTTCCACAGTTTTTCTTTCTGAAAAATCCACTGCATGCATGAGATTCATTCACCCATCTCACCTTCAAACATAAATGTGTCCGCTTCAGCTGCTATGTCTTCATCGGACAAATGTTGATCCTCTTCATCCTACAGTGACAAAATCAGGTATTTATTGAGACAAGACAGTTTGGGAATCTCACTATGGTAATGCTGTTTTCCATAATCAAGGGTCTCACTCAGCATCTGCCATTCTCCACCTCTGCTATAAACAGCCTTGACTGCATTTGTTGAGGTACCCATCTCCAGAGCAGTTCACAGTTTTTTCCATATATACTGATGGCTTTTTGCAAAAGCAGGGCTTCTGTTCCAATGAAACCTGCAGACAGAAACCCTAACGTCTCTATTAGTAATTAGCAGCATTCTACACAGGCCTTTTCAAGAGGAGAAACGTCTTCCACAGCATTTCTGCAATTAATCATGTGAACACACAACACTACCATTCATATGAACACCATGGTGATGAAGAACAATGAGCATTCAGATGTATCCAAACAATTAAATTGCCCTTTGCATATAAGGAAAAGCTTTTAAAAAAATTAATTAACAACTACTGCAATTTTTCAAACTGTGTTCAGTGAAATACTGGGGAAATACTAGAACTTGATAGGGTTCCATATGAGACTATGGCAAAAAGAAAAAAAAATCTCTTGATCTGAAAGAAAATGGATCTTTGCCTCTTGATCATGGATTCCATAACATTTTTTAGCTAACATTTTTGGGAAAATTTGGAAAACCCCTGGACTAGAGAAGCTCATTTCTTCATAGCATATGCTTTATATTTTGTTCTTTTTTTTACTATTCTCATGATTTGCAAAAAGAATGGGAGGGTATCATTTTTTTAAACCTGTCTGGTTAAAATCCTTCTTTAACCAAAACAATTTCAAAACCAGGGAAGGAACATCACTCTAATACTGAATTCTGATAATGACTTTTTTGACTGTTTTCCCTCAAAACACATAACCTACACATAAGTTGAGATCTGCTTTATGAGAATCTGTTATTAAATTTATTCTTCTCTTCCCCAGCTTCTTCCAGAGGGATGTTATAGTGAATCCTGTCGCTGTGTGCCCACCCCAGGCAGTTGAAATGCTATATTTCCTTCCTATGTTTCTTTATTTCTTGAAGGAGATAACTTAAAATGGGAGGCCATGAGCCAGTATACTGTGTAACTTAGCACCAACACGTTCTTGTAGGGTTGCAGATGAATTAAAAGCTCAATGTCCAGGGGCCTGGTAGGAGGGAATAAGCACTGTAGCCAGCCTTCTGTGCTGGAGATATAAAGGAGAGAGGAGAGTACATTTACTTTGTTTAATGAATCCTATATGCAAACTTAAATTAAATATTGTGATTATAGTGCAAACAGGGATGGAGGAGAAACTGAAACCAGCTGTTGCCTAAAACATCTGAAAAAGAGATAAGTACATACATACCTTGGCCAACAACAAAACATCAATGAAGTCAATGGTTTTGCCCTGCTTGGATGTGAGCCAGGCATTCTGGCCCAAACGGTTAAGTGCCATTCGCCGTTCCTGAATTACATTCTCTGTGAAATGATGCACAATTTCACATGAACGACGGAAACGGCGGCCCTGGGATGTCAGGTAGTAAACCCAGTCAGATTGCAGATACAGTTTAGTGTGCCGCTGCACGACAAGGGAACTGAGCTCCAAGATGGCCACAATATAGTCACTTGATTTCCTGAAATGTATCCAATGATTTTGTTATAAGAAAAAAAATGAAAGAGAGATTCAATAGAAACATGCACTTAGAATATGCACAGGAATATATTTTCCTAAAAAATACAAATAAGTCTTATCATTGCTCCAAGTAATATATACCACTGGTCTGAAGAATTGATTGTTAACATATCTATGTAACGCAAATACAGTCACTAGTTTGTAGTGGGTTTTTTTTACACTTGTAACATTAAACAACACTAGTATGTTAGAAAAATATCTGTAGTAAGTATTGACTTACTTACTTTTTTTGCAAGTATTGACTTGGAATTCTTTTTATTTCCCAATTCATCTGATATAACTCAAAACATATGCATTCATCAGAAAGCCTCAGTTTATTTGATGGATCTAACTACCAAAGGATTGACTTAGTGCAACTGTATGCATATTTACACAAAGATAACTAGTATGGTGAGGTTAAAATGTGGCAAAAATTATTCTGTTTTTGATATCCTGGATCAAAGAGATCATTCTCATCACTTTGAGAAATGCGAGTTGTTGTTCTGAAAACGCTGTCTCAACTATTTTTAATATCTCACTTTAAAAGAAGAGTTGGCTTTCCCTAAGCAAAATATTTCAGACACATCCAAAGTTACTAAGCTATTGGAAATCTCTTTGAGTGGGTAAGTAAGAATACTGCACCTGTAGTATTCTAACATCACCCATTCTTACTATTTTTATAGAAGCCCCAATGTCTGAATGCAATTTTAATAACATTAAACTTATCTATAAAGGCAATGTTTATTTCTAAGTTTAGCCTTCCAATCTGGGGCAGAGATTCCCACTATTTGGAGGCTGGGGATACATATAACATGTTTTGAAAGGAGACACCTTTGATGCCTGGACCCATAACATTCTCTTTTTTCCCCAATGAGTTTGGAGAAATTGTTTGGGAAAATTCTTTATTGTTAAAAACAATGCTAAGTTTAGTTCAATTACAGAGTTCATATGTTTCTTGCCTCATCACATGCCAATTATTTATCATTGAAATGAGACCGCAAAAATTGAGTTTGCACCTCTGTACAGCCCTGGCCTCAGTATGCCTTCATATTTGGAAAAGGAATTCAGCTTTTGGCCTCAAGAATATAACACATATTCACGCTTATCTTCCTTTCATTGCACTTCTTCATGCTGCTGGTTTACTTACTCTTGACAGTTGCTATTAGAGCTGAAAACACATTTCTGCAAGCTATCTAGAGTCATGAGGCTGATATGCTTAAACATGTCAAGAGAAACAGGACCTGCTGAGATCAGTTTGTGCCACTTGTCCTGTAAAAAGATAAGCAATACATCAAACCTAGAAAAGGAACAAAATGATACCGAGGACAGGGAGGGACCCAGATCTTGCACAAGGCCAAGACTGATGTGAATCAGGATGAGTAAAGGGCTATGCAAATGCCTGGGGAATAAACCAAGGAGAGATGATACTGATACTTCACATCTGCACAGTGAACATGCAAAGAAGGAGGATAGAACAGAGAGGTGGCGAACTATGCACATTTATTTTACTTAGTGTATGGCATCTACAGAGGCCATTCAATCACTAATGATGATGAAGTTATCCATTCAATCATGTCCGACTCTTGCCAATTCTATGGCTAGGTCTCTCCACATCATGTATAAACACAAACATAAGTTTAAATAAAGCACCAGCAAATGTATGTAAAGTGTGTGGACAATACAATAGAGGAAATAAAATATTGAGTTAGGATAAAACCATAAAATTGCCCTAATATGGCGCTATAGAATCTCAATAGGGTGGATGCTATAGTTCAATAGCTAAGGAAGCTATCTATCTAACTGCTTTTGGTGTGGCTACAAAACTAGTGCAAAAATTCAATATCTCTGCAAGGAAAACTGTCAAAGTCTTCTGTATCTCAAATGTGCCACGTTTTCAGAACTCAAATTAAAATTGTTTAGTGTTATGGTGCTCCCAATATTAATTTCAGTTTTTGTAAGATTTGTAAGATTACTGCCATAACTAAATCTCTGGTTTATGACTTGTTTATATGAGAAGGTCTAATACTTAAATTTCAGAATGGCTGTTATGTGATAGAGCAAGAACCAAATAAATCCTAAACTTCCCACCAGGCATTACTTCTCCACAAACTGAATTAATGATAAAAATATGTATCTATTGGGAAGGGAGGAAGATAGGAGGGTTGGAAGGAGAGGGAAGGGGAGAGAGAGGGAGGGAGGGAGGGAGGCAGAAAGATGTTGTTGAAAAAAGAAAGGGTAAATCCTAGTGTCCACTTATTCCCAACAGGCATTTGGCCATTCTGAAACATTTAGTCTACTTTGCAAGCAGAGTGAATGCTTTGTTTTGTATGTTAAAAATTAAATCTTTATGCTACATTAAAATAATGTAGCAAAAAATTAAGAAACAGCATATTATTTACACATTTGCCTTGTTGTAATGCAGTTATAGGCATAGTAAGTAATTATGGTTTATTTCTTTAATCTGGCTGCTTCTCTTATTACTGTTCTATTCTTTTTATTTATACTCCCTTTGTTTCTTCCCTTCCATCTCTGAGTCTCATGTTTACTTTGCTACACTGCCAAAATTCCAGCATTTCGGAACTGGTTGCTGTTACAGTGTTACAATGGAGATGGGTTTCAACATGTTCTTGAATAAGTTGCAAAATATTTGTCTGTCTGTCAGTCCCTCCCCTCCCCCATCATCCATCCATCCACTTCATGTTAAGAGACTTTTTAACTTTGTGTTTCATTACCTTTAAGAAATGGGCAAGCAACATCAGAGTAGTGGGTGCTAAGGTTTTCAAGACAGTATCAAAATGCTCAAGCTTACATTTGTGCGCAAACATCTGGAACACCTGGTAGAGCACAAAAAGTACTTCCTTTTGAACTGTTTAAATAGGTGCATCTTTTTCCAGATTTGCACAACTTCTTCAGTAGCTGTTCCTGGTTTTTTCCACATGTGTGTGCACATACAGTCACTTTGCTTTTAAAAGTGGGTGTTAATATAAAATATTGTGATCTTATTAGAAAGCTGGAATTGAACACAGGGAGCTGTCAACAAATCTCACATTCATTTGAAATAAGGTACCAGTTACAACACATATTGAGTAAGAATGGAATGATATTTGAGTGCAGTGAGCACTCAAAGATGTCATAAGATGTCATAAGAAGAATCCTTAAAATTCTCTTTCCTTCCCATTTCAGTTGTACATTCTAGATGGACTGCACCAACAGAGATGCAGAGACATTTAATGAGTATGAGAAGAATGAAGTGGGGATGCCCAAGTTTTAGAAGAGCTCACATGCATGATGTCTGTACTCTGATTGAAGATTTTCACATAAGGCTTCAGGATATCAAAATGAAAGGCAGGAGTGAGCAAACGCCGGTGTCGTGCCCACTTTGTCCCATTGCTCAGTAATAATCCATCTCCTGTGGTAAGAAAAATTGGGGCTGATTGAAGCAAAGGATTGAATTAAGCAAAATTCTTCTTTGCCAGAGGAACTGTCTGCATCTTTCCATACAAACTAAATCTGACTTCCCCAATTTGGTATTTTCTAGATATGTTGGATTACAGCTTCTAGATTTCACAACCAGAGAAATCAGAGACAATATTTCAATGTCCACAAAACAAATCATTTGAACTAACTGTAAAGTATATCTTGGCATGAGCTCCACCTGTAAGATATCCTGAGCTATACAGCTAGAACACATGAAGTAGCCTGACATAAGCAGGGCCTAGAGGACCATAAAGTGGAAGGGTTTTCTACAGAACTATAGAGACTGAAAGCATTATACATTACACAAACACTTATTTCAAAGAAATATCTTTAAGGCTGTCCTGGAGTAAATATAAAATCTTGGAAACTGTAAAAGGACGTTCCAAACCTCATTTATATTATTTAATTAAGCAGAGTTTCTCCCAATGACTTGAAATACTTTTTCCCAGATTTCTCTCCACCTGGCTTAAGTTGCTATCAGCTGACCCACTGCTGCCTTTTGACTGATTGTCCCATGCTTTTCCCAACCTCCATGCAAACTTTCACAGTAACGATAAAAATGGATTGAGAGGCATGGTGTATGTCATGGGTGCCAAACTCGATCATGTCATGTGACATATTGTGATGTATCATGACATTTTTTGCCTTTGCGGAACTGAGGTGGGCGTTGCCTCTGTGTGACACATCTGGCTTGCGGGCCGCCAGTTTGACATTCCTGGTGTATATTATTAATATAAACTGGTTTTTCCTGTTTCCTTTTGTTTTATTCTCCCATGACTTCAGTTTCGCTGAAGTAATACTTTTACTTTACATTATGTTGCTTACCCTGAAATAGTATAACATGATGGGCATGCATGTACATGTAGTCCTCACTTAATGACCATTCATTCAGCAACCATTTGAAGTTACGATGGTACTGAATGGACTTATGACCAGCCCTCAAAGTTCCAGTTGTTGCAGTACCCTGTGGTAATGTGGATAAAATTTGAGTCCACCCACATTTACAACCACTCCCCTGCCACTGTCCCTCACCCTCAGCTGACTTTTGTCATTGTCTTCACCTGCTTCCCCTCTGCTGTGCTCACCCATCTGACCACTCTAAAAAGGCGGCCCTGGTTGTGTTGATGCAAAAGAAGGTGGAGCAAAAGAAGGCCCCAGCCAGTAGTGGCACTAGGTGGGGGTTGGGGCAGGCAGGGCCAGATGGTGGGGGTAACTGGTGTTGGTGGCTAGGCATGGACCAAAAGGGCAGAGATGGGGGAAGATGGGGGGGAGTTGAGGTGGAGGAAATCCCTTACCTTCTTTCAAGAATGGCTTGGTTCCAGGTGGCTCCTTGCCTATTCACTCAACAACAGTAATTGGGATTTGCCAGAACTGCTGTTGCTAAGTGGGACAGTCACATGACTTTTCACTTAAAGATTGCATCACTTGGCAATGGAGTTGCCAGTCCCAATTAGAACTGTTAAGTGAGGACTACCTATATGTCTATGAGTAGTACTTTTTTTAAAAGCATTTTATGATCCTAAAAACTCTGTTGCCTGATATTGGGTGTTAGAGCAATTTTGCATAACAATATATTAATAAAGCGAGAGATGTTTTACCAAGCCAGGGCTTCAGGAAGCTATAGAAGAATTTGTCCTTGGGAGCAGTATCAGCTGCAGAGAAAAACAGAAACAGTTTTCCCGCTGGTCTCTTTAAAAACAGCAAAATAGTTCCAACCTCCCAGTCCTGGGAATAATGTCCCTAAAACATCGTATTCCTCAGCAGAATTAGAAGGCAACTGATCTTTCCTAAATGCTTGTCTTATTACTTGACTGAAAGTATCTTGCCCTTTGTATGTTATCAATGATGAGCTCTTTGCTTGACTAATCAGCCTGGAGCAATGCTACTTCAGGAATTAAGCAACAAGAATAGTTGATATTATTGATAGGTCCGTCATGTGAGGCTTACATCAAGGAAGGAATAAAACTTCATTGGAGGGCATTTTCACCATGTACTCTATTTGCATAATTTATATAGGCTTTGTTCATGTGTAGCATCACTAAGGCTCATGTCTAGAATGTGTTTCAATTTCCATTTTTAAATTCTGCAATTCTGTATGACTGTATAATCTATTTCTAGGAGATAACAGAAAAAATAATAGTATGCATATAAGCCAGACAAATGATCTGGTTTTGGAAGCAAATGTTTCCAGGTGTGTGCAGGGAATGCAAAAGGCTCCCAAATGAAGTTTAAGGGAGTCTGCAAAAGTTTAGTCAGCACATCACACCATACTTGAGCCTCAAGGGCAGATGCCCAAGTTGCAAAATTTCCATCATAGTGATATTTTAACTTCACAACTTTCAGCTGGCATTTAAATGATACAATGATGACAGCTTCTCAGAACAGCTTCATTATCAGAAAGCTTTTAAAAATAAACTAAACTTAAAAATAAAATAAAGTTTTTAAATAAACGTCTGCACAGAGGCACACAAGGTGAATTGAAAATAAGGCCTGTTAAATCTTACGTATTTTTCCTTTCTGAGGCTGCAGGAAAAGTGAGGAAAACTTCACTATTTTGGGACCTGTATTAGATTAGGCCTGAAGTATATTTTCTGCAGTCTGTTGATGTTTACTTAATGTTGTAAGCCCACACCGTGTGGTGAGATGGGTAGCAAACAAATACAGACTGGCTCATGGTGATCACAGGATGTTCCTCACATTTTGAGGCTGGCAGTAGTATAAACAGTTGTGGATTGCTTCTAATTGCTGGAGAGTGAACCAGTGATGGTATAGAAGTACCCTACAATTTTTTAGTCTAACTCCATTTCATTTTTTTAAATGGAATGGATGGATTATGGCAGTGGTGGGATTCAGCCAGTTCGCACCACTTCAGCAGAACCGGTAACTAATTTTTTGTTGCCCAGGCCCAGAATGGATTTCCGGAAGCGGCATCCACACAGAGAACCAGTTGTTCACATATTTGAATCCCACCACTGGATTATGGAGGAGGTATCAAAAACATTTCTCTTTAGTAGTATTTTATTATGTGAGGCCTGCAAATATCTTTCTGAGACTTAAGAAGTCTTTCCCCATAAAAAAGATGTCTTTCTCCACAAACTTTTTCAAATGCAAACAAGTCTACAGTCACTTCTATAATATCTATCTTTTCTAAAAGTTTCATTTTTCAAAAAGCAAAAGGGCAAATTTCATTGGTAGTTATTTTCTGACTCTCACTTCCTTAAAAGTCAGAACAATTGTTACTATCATTATAGCAACATCAACATCATGACAAAAGAGATAATAGTTGAAATCGGAAAACTAACAAAAATTATAATTAAAACATACAAATAGCTCCAACAAAATAACTAATTCTCTAAAGAAAAGTAGGCAGGAAGAAAACCTTGTATTGTTAAATGTAATACCAATTCAGAAGCTGAGATCTCAATTGCTTTGTGAGCATTTCCCTCTTTTTGCCCCTTCAAATTATTATTCTCTTAAGCCTGTTCACAACATTATTTCTCTTTTTCACAGTCAATCCACCAACTTTTCCAATCTGATACAAAAGAGGAGATGTAGGAAGCAAACACAGAGTCAGTCAAATTTCCCTCAATATAGCCAATGTTAAAATATTTTACTTCATTCTGTATTTTTAAGTTGACTTTGATTCCTCCTTTAATTGTTAGCTTCCTCTAGTTCTCTGGTGTCCAATTTTTAAAGTTTTATTAAAAAAAAGAATTCAAAAGAAAAGCAATTTCCCATGAAAGGATTCTTTATAATTAATTTCAAAATCTTATTTCTGATTTATCTGGACCTTTAGTACATTTTCAACTTTCTAAAATAAAAGTTTAAAACAGCTTTTACTGTTTATTAAAAAAAAGTCCTTAAACTTTATTTAAAATATATTTTGCTAAGGACTGAAGGAAACTCACCTTGGTAGTATAAAACACATCATTCCAAATATTCTTAATAGCAGAAAAGCAGTAAACAAGCAATTTCCAAAAGTGGTTAAAAAAAGAAGTGTGAGAAATCAGCATCCTTTCAAAGGCCCCAACTAAAGTTTGAGCAAGATGGGTATTCCCTTGTCTCCCAGAGCTCTAAACCAGCTGGAGACTGCCTTGCAGTCTCTTCATGTGGAGCAACTGTCTAGAGCAGTTGTGGGTTTTCTTAAGTCATCTCCTTGTCTGGCATGGTTTAAAGAGCCGGTCTATTCACCAGCTCTTCATTCCTCCTCTATTGTTAGGTCTGGTTTTTTTTGTCGGGCTATCTTAAGTCCATCATTTTTTCCCCAGGAACCATTTTAAATTCACCATTTCATCCCCAGCAATTTCACTTATAGGGTTTTAGTCTTTGTTGATTTGGACCAACTGCTGAGTCACTTTGATTGCTTGCAATAACAACCTAACAGGATACAGGGATCAAATGAAAATTCAATTACTACAAAACACTGCATACAATGATAAAGAGAGCCCATAGGACAGAAGGAAAAGGAAGTAGAAATATCCAAAAGAATACTATGGATTTCTACTAGACATTCCAAAATCTCATTGACATATGACATATTGATTTTTATCATCACAATCCTCATCAAATATTTTGGCTATTAAAAATTGGTGGGGCCAGGGTAAAAATATGTATTCCAATGTTAATTTAACTAAAATGAAATTTTAATTGATTCCACATCATTGTTTATTATGTATTTCATACTTTCCTCACATGTCAGAGATGATTATTCAGTGCACCTCAAGAGGTTTTAGGATCATTGTTGGGCAGAGTGGTTTTATGGCTTACAATATATATGAAACATTTTATATTCACTAATATACTGTATATCGTATATGTGCTAAACATTATAACATTGCATATTTCATGGGGGGGAAAGATCCCAAATATAATCCATCCTGATGCCAGCTAAAATCAAGATCAACAGTCATAAAGGAACAAATGCAATCCATAGAATTATTGTTCTTGGAACTCTTCCAATCCAACCCCAGATTCAGGGCAGGAATCCTCATACTATCCCAGGGGTCTTCAAACTTGGCCCTTTTATGACTTGTGAACTTCAATTCCCAGAATTCCTCAGCCAGCGTGCCTGGCTGAGGAATTCTGGGAGTTGGTCCACAAATCATAAAAGGACCAAGTTTGAAGACCCCTGTACTATCCATTGAAAATAGCCCATGTTCAACTGAATAGCATAGTCAAACACCAGGAGTTAACCACAGGAAATGTTTTATGATATTTGTACTATATCATAAACTGCTTTATGATAATTTTTACATCATAAAATGTTTGCCAAATTTCAGTTTTATGGGAGACATGGGTCACAGATTTTGGACACTTTCTGTAAGCTGGTCCATGATTTGAGGACCCTTGGTTCAAAAATTGTTGCTCTATGACAGTGATGGCGAACCTTTTAGAGACCAAGTGCCCAAAAACTGGTGCTGCCCCCACTCCACCCCCTGCCCCACCCCGCTCCACCCCCACCCCGTCTGCCCGCAGGGCCACTCACCGCCTCCAGGGCCTGCTGCAGATCGCCCAGCAGCGCCATTGTGGCCACGCCCTCTGCCCACGCCCCGCAGCATCAACTGTGCGCGATGGGGCATGAGGGCAGAAACTTGTCTACGCTGCCTGGCTGCCATGTCCTTGGCTGCACTGCTCCGTGTGGGCCACGCTCGGGGGCGACTCTCCTCCAGGGGGGCTGCTGGTGAGGGGGTCGTGGGGGGAAGCAAGGCTGGGGCAACGGCACGTTGTGCTGCCTCTGGCACCTGTGCCATAGGTTCGCCACCACTGCTCTATGATGTGCTGTTTCACTTATTTAAAGGTTACAGGAATGAGAGTTTTAGTACTGCATAGGCAGATTAACACAGATCCAAATTATTAAAAAATCCCAAGATCTTTAAAATTCTGGTTCTCAGTGCTTTTTTAATTAAAAACCCATATTTTAGCATATTCAAATAAATAATCTTAAAACATAGGTGAATCCAATAAAAATAAATTGGTCAACCAGATAAAAGGCTGAATTTCCTTGACAAAGTGCTTCATTGGCTCCCTAAGCATTATATCCTTAGAGAAATTGCAAAAACCAGATTTGGGCTTGGGCTGCAGCTCCTAATCCAGTGATGGCGAACCTTTTAGAGGCTGAGTGCCCAAACTGCAACCCAAACCCACTTATGCATCGTCGAGTGCAGGGTGGGTGTGGCCAATTGGGTGGGCATGGCCCATTGAGTGGGCATGGCCATGGTGATAATGGCAGACTGGGTGGGACTAAAAAGTTCAATCAATCAATTCCAACTTTTCAAGATCTTTTTTTTCCCGCGAGAAGTTGAAATTGACTGATTGAACCTTTTTTTTTTTTGCACACGGTGGCGGAGGCCTAAAACAAAAAGGTTTTATAAAACCTAGCGAAGGCCTAGGACTGGGGCAGCAGCACACGTGCCTACAGAGAGGGCTCTGAGTGCCGCCTCTGGCACCCGTGCCATAGGTTCGCCACCACTGTCCTAATCTGTTCCTCTCTACATCAATATGAGGCTGTCTGTTGATTGTTTTGGGTTCAGTGGTCCCTGCCACAGAGATTTATGAACACTTGCTTATAGCCTAATATAGTATATGGTTTTATCTACTTGTGGCTTCATATATCTACCAGATTTAAATAAACCAGGTCTTCTGCAATGTGAATTCAACTTGGACACTCAGCCAATGCCCACAGGACTCTATAATAGAGTCTCTGCCAATGAATTGTGGACTCCCCATCCATTTCCAGTTTTGCCACCATTCACCACAATACCTGATGCTGTCATAACTTGCTTGATATAATCAGGATGAACCAAGGACAAGAGTGGCAGGAAGGGCCCCATCCATACCATAAATGTCGGGGAGAAGGTGCTTACAATCTGGACCAATTTGGCCAATCCTTCTTCAGTGGGTGGAATCTGCAATGAATAAAGGCACTGAATACTGGTGCAAGCAGGAGGAGAAAGTTATAGGGCTAGTTGGCCAAAGCAAGAAAAGAGACTGGAGAAAGACTACAAAAAAATAGCTTTGCTCTGAAAGTACCGTATTGGTGTTGAGGTTATGGCCACATGTCAAAAGCAGGCATCTATAGTTCTACTAAAATCCACTGAGCAGCAGAAATGCAGGCCTTGAGCCCTAGAGGCACTGGCTAAGGATGCAGTCACTTCCTTTCATTTTCATCAAGTCTTAGGCAGGCTTCTCCAAGTGCAAGCTACCATTTCACCAGTTTCATTTGTAGAAGTTTTTTGTGTCCTTTCAATTAAATAATGTCATCTATTGTGAACCAGGAGGAATGCTTTCTCTGTTGTGGTGCATGCTCTTTGGAACAGCATCCCCCCAGATATCCATGTGGCACCCACCATTCTGAAACTCCAAAAGTCTTTTAAAATCTGGTTATTCTCATAGGTCCCAGCTGTTTTGTTCAGAGTTTTTTTGGAGGGGGTAGAATGGTGATTTGTAATGACCATTTTTCTTCCTTCTTAGAAAAGAAATGCATGCAACAGGGTCACTGCCTCCATCTCTCTTTTTTTCTATGACAATATCAGTAGCACTAGCATTAACACTTAGACTTACATACTGCTCCATAGTGCTTTACAGCACTCCCTAAGCCAGGGGTGTCAAACTGCCGGCCCACGGGCCGGACGCATCACCGGGAAACCACACCCACCCCATTGCCAGCAATGGGGGAAAAGCTCCGATACGTTGTGCGACGTCACATCACGTCGCAAGTTTGACATGTCTGCTCTAAGCATTTACAGAGTCAGCATATCGCCCCAACAACCTGGGTCCTTATTTTACCAACCTTGGAAGGATGGAAGACTGAGTCAACCTTGAGCTGGTCAGGATCAAACTCCTGGCCTTTTAAAAAAACACCCCCATCCATCCTACTGGACTTTCCTTCTCTCTCCATCTGTTTCGCTTCCAAATTTGAACACTTCTACTACAAGATCCAAACGCTCCTGTGCCTTTCTGTTTTTTTTTTAATGGCATCAATGTCTGAAGAGATGCATGTGTGCACAGATATGAAGTTTCAAAAATTCAAAAAAATGTGCAGCAGGTCAGAACTATCTTTCTGTGTTATTGACTGCTCTTTTAGAAATCCATCATTTCCCTTCCGTCCAGCAATTAGCTTTCCAGAAATTCTTATTCTGGCTATTTTCCTTCTGCTGGAATTGGAAGATGTAGCATCCTTGTGACTCTGTCTGTCATAGGCCTCAAGACTGTGGTATGATGTAGGAGAAGCATCTGTGGGCAGCATTTCAGGTCTCCTATGGTGATAACTTGTGCAAATGCTTAGATTTTGGCATCTTTCCATTCTTATACTAGCTGGACTTACCATTCCCATGTGGCCTAGGAACCAATTGCAGTGAGGCGGCTGTGGGAAACTGCGTAGTCTCTGGCAGTTGACATAATAACAGTAGCAGATGTCAAAGGCCTTTAAACACTGATGGATGAGGAAGGCCAGCAGGCATAGCAGCAGGCTGGAGATAACCATGGTTCGGAACAAGGTTTTCTCCACAGCCAGTTTCTCTAGCAACAAATCTGTGAGGGGCAACATTCTGGAATAAAAACAAAGTAGATGAAGTATAGAACAGAATTCTTGGAGTAACTTGTACATTTGGTGAAAGAAAAAGATCTTTGACCTTAGAGGGCCCCCACCTTCAAATCCCACTTCCGGTAGGAACCCAAGTTAAAGCACCCCAAATTTAGTCTAATGAAGAGAAGGCTCATTGGAGACATGATAGCAGTCTTCCCATAATTGAAGGGCTGTCACAGGGAAGAGGGGGTCATTTTATTCTCTATCAACACCCAAGGGCAGGACAAGAAGGAATAGTGGAAGTTCATCACAGAAAGATTCAACATGGAACTAAGGAGGATTTTTCTTACAGTGAGAACAATAGAGCAATGGAATACTTCACCTCCCTTAGATGCAGGAGCTCCATCGCTGGTGTTTTCAAGAAAAGACTGGATAACCTTGGGCAGGGGGTTGGATTAGAAGACCTCCAAGGTCCCTTCCAGCCCTACGATTCTATAATTTAAACACTGTATGTTTCTGTCAAAACCGATTTGTTGGGAGGGGGTGATTTCTTCATTCTCTAAGTTCCTGCGGTTTCTGCCATACTCCTGGGGGGAGGGGGAAGCTATGGATGCTACAATGTATCTGTTGTGTCCTGAGCCTGCAAGAGGCAGGCTCGTGACGTTGCAAGAGTCCCGGGCATTTGCAGAAGCTGCCCGGGACCAGACTGAGCGGCGCCGGCCTTGTGCGCATGCGCAAGGCGGGAAAAGACCGCCTCATGATTGGTTGAACTTGCCCGGGGATCAGAAGGTATAAATAGAGGCCTGCGTGCCTCTGCTCAGGTTGTTCATAGAATGGAAGCAGAGAATAAAGACTTGTTAGAAATGCTTCGTCTCAAGCGCCATTATTCTCTGGACTTAACACTGGCGACGAAGGTGGGATTCAGTCTCTACAGCTAGGAAAGCTTGAAGACTCACCCAAAGAAGTCCGGAAGAGAAAACGGTGTGGAAGTCAGCGTTATCCTGCCAGTACGAAATCACTGGAGGGTGCGTGCGGCTGAAGAAGAAGAAGACCTGATCCTCGATCATGGCGAAAGTTGGGCGTTTAGCGGAATTCGACGTCTCTCACCCCGAGAGGTGGGAATCTTATGTGGCAAGAGTCGAGACGTATTTCCGCATAAACCAGATTCGGGAGGAAGGCTTAAAGGCTGCCACATTGTTGTGCGTTTGTGGGCAAGA